GTTAAGTTGTAGTCAGACTAAACTTTGAACTTGTCTGATCTTGCCTGGTGCACGTAACTTGTGGGGTGTTGCGCGTGCCATGAAGTGAATTAATATCACCAGTAAGGTGTGAGGATACTTTCTCTTTGAAAAAAATAAAAATAAATAAAATTAAGGAATTATAATTATATACGTTATACTATGTTGTGTAATGCTATTCTGAATGCCCTCTCATGTTTGCTCTCCTTGTTTAACTAACGAATTGAAAGATTTATTAAATGACTCATTTGATTTTCATTAATCTCAAAACATTGTTTCAATTCAGTGATTAAATAAGATGAGCTCATGCCATTTGTCATTAGATGACTCTCATAATAACATTGCTCGTTTAAGTTTGGATAAGGGATTAAAAAAAAGTGATGAGAGAAAAGTTCGAGAGTCTCTTTCTAATTAGTGTTTGCTTGTTGTGGAAAATCAATGATGGAATGTAAAAGGGTGGATACCTGATCGCAAAATAGTGGTAGTTAGGGTTTGATAGGAGACAGGTCTTGCAAGTGCAAATATAGGCCATGATAAGGTGATCACAACCACTCCAAAACCCCACCCAATTAGGGTCGGTCACACTCTGAACCACCCCCATAGCGTTTACAAACAATTTCATCTCTAAGAAGAAATGATCAAAATCCAATATTTGGGGTTTTGGAGAATAAAGTCTCAATACCTCATTAGTCTAATAGGTTTTATGATAAAATTGGTTTTACCAATCTTTTGGCAGCTTCGTGGTATTTTTTTACCTACCAAAATGGATTCTTACAAGGACAAATGAGAGAGTTAATTTTTTGTCGATGGATTTTTTTTTTTAAATGATCAAAATCCAATATTTGGGGTTTTGGAGAATAAAGTCTCAATACCTCATTAGTCTAATAGGTTTTATGATAAAATTGGTTTTACCAAGCTTTTGGCAGCTTCGTGGTATTTTTTTACCTACCAAAATGGATTCTTACAAGGACAAATGAGAGAGTTAGTTTTTTGTCGATAGATTTTTTTTCTTAAAAAAAAAACCTTTAAATTCAAAGTACACATTGAATCCAAAAAAGGAGGGAAGGTCTTGGACTTATAAGGGTAGATATAATTGATTCTAATGTTTTGTATTTTTTATAAGTTTAAAAGAGGTGTCAACCTTTTATTTGGATACGTTAGTTTGCAGGACTGAAGTATTTATTCTATTTTTTTAATCAAAATTCTTAACTTTTGAAAAGTTTTTTTAAGCTACCAATATATTCTTTTTAAGCATGACTCAACAAGTTTTTTGGACAAATGAGTGAGTTAATTTTTTGTCAATGAATTTTTAATTTTTATTTAAAAAAGAAAATTTAAAATTCTCAAAGTACACATTGGATCCTAATAGGGATGGAGGGTCTTGGACTATAAGGGTAGATATCCATCACGACTCAGCAATAATTGATTATAATGAGTTTGATTATTATTTTCTATGATTAACCTGCAATCAGCTCAATGAATCTAAAAGCAGATTTATGTTTTGACTTAATTTGATTGTGCAGTGAATTGATGTAGGAGACGGTCAGTTGGAGTTAAACAAGTAGTATTATGTAAGAGAATTCAAACATAATTAATATATTAAAAAATATATAAATAAAATATAATGAGAATGGGGCACTCCATTAGGGTCTTAGGCGGCTACCTTAACCGCCTTAAGGTGGAGCCGCCTCTGCATTGCATCAGGTATGTTCTTCTACGGTAAAAAAAAATTACTGTAGTATAGAATAGTCTAATTGAAGAAAGAAACTAGTTCTGTACTTATATTTTTATTCTTAATAAAATGAGTGAATTTGACCTCTACCCAACAATGGTTAGGTTCAAAAGAAAGAAAATTAAATACTATGAAGAAGCAATAGTTAAATCCATGCTAACATTATTGGGATGCAAATGTAGAACAATTTTACACTCCATTGAGACGTAATACTTATTATTTTTTTCTTTTTGACATGACACCTCTAGACATTTGATTTAACAAATCTTTATACACAAACACTGTTGATTTGTATTTATTTTTTTATAAGTTATAAATTTCATAGAAAGGCTTAGAACAATGAAAAGATATTGGGTGTGCCCGGGTTCATTCGAATTGTACATGCACAATATGTGCTTGCACATCTACAATACTTGTGGCTCGAATGACCTGGAAGAAGTCGTGTTGACTTTGAAACAAGCTTGTTTTGACTTGTAATACATTTATTGAATAGTTTTACTCTCCATTGAGACGTAATACCTATTTCTTTTCTTTCTGACCTGATACTTCTAGAAAATTCAACTAACAAATATTTATACACGAAAGATATAAAAAAAAAAATGATAAACAAAATCAGTCGGCATTTTGTTACCATTTACAAGTTTTATGAAAGGCTTGGAATAAGGAGAGGTATTATTTTCTTACAAGTTACATGAAAATTTTGAAATAAGAAAAAGGTAAAAAATGCTCCCGACACATTATACACTGAACTTATCCAAGTCCTACATACACAATATTTACTCGAATGAGCCTTCTCCCGTGTTGACTTTGGCAAAAACCTGTTTTGACTTGTAACACATTTATTGAACATTCACCCATTGGAAAAAGGAAAAAACCTAGAAAGGGCTAAGGTCAAACCTAGAATTAAATGTCTTTGTCTTCCCACTTTGTTCTTCAGCAAAAGTCAAAGATTTTAATGGCAGGAAAACAGCATGAACCCATAACATCTCTCTCTACATGGATGAGCAATGATTTAGGCTAAGAAAATGAAATTAAACAGTTGATATGATGTTCCTTTAAAGATTGAGATCTAATTAAGTGGATCGTTTAGGATATAATAGATTAATTAGCATGAATTTGAGTTTAGTTGGAGGAAGCAAAGTGTGGTTGTTAGGTCTGGAATGGAGCATAATGTTCCATCACTTTATTGCTAACCAAACCTTTCATGTCAATATTAGTGTCGGTCATTGTTTTTGGGTTCATAAAAGCACACACATATAAACAAGATTTATATTGCTTTGCATATAATTTGTAAAATTGCATTGCCCTAAATTTTTTTTCTGAAAGATTAATTTCAAAGGAAAAATTATGTATATATGATGTCCAAGCCCATAAATGTGTAAATGGCCCAAAGGCTCTGGTTAAAACCAGTTAACAAAATCAGCTCCAAGAGCAAGGCCCAATACAGTATCAATTGAAATTCTCACCGCCACTGTCATCACTCGTCCCTTTGAGGCACCAAGCACCAATATAAATTCTCGGTGTATTGATTTAGTACTTATTATCAAATGTAACTCGATAAATATTTATTTTCATTTCAAGAATCTCAAGCGAATGAAATAACAATGCAATAATCATGGTACAGATGAAAGCATGGCATACGAGTGATCACATCCAATCCAACCTTAAACATCTCTGAAGCCAACATAGGAAGCAATTGCAACTTCTACGTGTAACATTAATAACCCGAGCAAGAGAGAGTATCTCATCAATCATATTCTCATCTTCGAAAATTTCCCTAGCAAAAAAGATGCTAGAGAAGTGTGAAGGTGCTTGTAACAGGCTATAAGGCACCGGGCACCAATTTTAGCACTTGTCCAAAACGATTATCAAATGTAACTCGATAATCATTCATTTTCATTACAAGGATGTCACGTCCCCAACACAACATGTCATGTGACAAAAATTGATTAGCATAAGCAGAGCCTTGATGCAACATCCATGAATAAAGCTTGATATCTCTTTAAGTACGGCACATAAAATTATGCATAATTGCATTAACATAATTTTCTTATTCAACATATGTCATCGAATTCAATCAAATCTTCGAATTCAGTTAGGCAATCTCAAGTAAATACGGAAATGTAGCTCAACTAAAAATTCAGAATATTACAACTAAGACTCTGTTCTAGACCTTAACATGCTTGGAAAAGAACTAGTTTAGTGCTGTGAAGAAATATTCTCTGAAATAATTTGCCATATTTTATCAATAATTTCTTCTGGAATTATCTAAAGGACTTGTTTAACTGAGCAAAGAATGTGTATAGACTCGTTAATCGAAATGGAAATACAAATTTCTCTTTCAGCATATAAAAGTGAAAGAATAAGAATGCAACAAAAACAAGGTACTAATTCATGGATAATATATGAATGCTATTACAATTGTACTGCCTCTTCCAATTAACTATATATCAACAGTGAACAGCCACTCATAAATTCATATCAACATAAGATCCTAATAAAATAAAATAAAAAAATCATAGGATTTTAGATAATCACGACAAACCAAACTCGAGATGACTTTGTTTGCAAGCAACTCAACATGAAACTTCTTCAAACGGACCAAACATATCATGATTTACTTACTGCCCCAACTAGAAAATTCTAAAATTAATTTAAGGCAAAGAAGTATATGATGAATGTGATAAAGTTGGTAAAAAAAAGGTTGCACAAACTAATAGCTACAAAAGAAAATACTTGATTTGAAAAAAATAGTAACAATCTGAGTAGTACAATACCTAAACAGAGGAGCTGATCACTTGTGTCTTTGAGTTCCCAAGGGCATATGCTAGGATGGAACCATGCACGTCTCTCTGGATCTTCCATCACCTACTTATGTAGGAATGCAACAGAAGATGAAAAAATACTGTATAATTTAGCATACGGGATCATATAATTTACAAACAATATTAAATGGACCTCCATTTTCAATTAGGATGAATAAATTAAGAATCTAGGATTGGGCAAGTGAATGTGTTTTTGACTAATCAATCCAAATGATAACACTAATTTTTCTTTCAGCATATAAAAGTACAAGTAAAATAATAGGAATGCAACAGAAGCAAGGCTAGTAATACATGGTCAAACTGAATGATGTTAAGCTTAGGCCACCTCTTCCAATCAACTAGAAACAGTGCCCTCATAATACATCTGAGATCATAATAAAATAAAATAAATTCTTACAAAAAACACGTACCCGAATTTTAAACAATCAATCTGTCGGCATTTGGAAGCGACAAATTGGACAGAAGTGACTTGTTTGTAGCCAACGAACTATGCAATTTCCATGATACACATGAAAGCATGGCATTCGAGTGACCACTTCTATTCCAACATGAAACTTCTCCAAACAGATCATACATCGATCCAATGAATCAGAACCATCAGCAACCACATTCTCCAATGCCTCCACAGATGATTTACTTGCCGACAATGGACTGCATGAATCGACTTCCATGGATTCTTCTACAGCCCTGGTTTCCGTAGATGATGATGTCGATAATGATGGTGATGATGGTGGTGATGAGGATGAATGGAAAAAGACGTTGAGAACCATCAATGGTATTGGGCAACTGAAGAGCCACTTGTAGCCCGAGCAAGGGATAGCATATCTTCGATCATTCTATCATCTCGAGGAACTTGCCTATCAGACAGGACTGTAGAGAAGTTTGAGCGTGCTTGTATTGGACCGTAAGGCACCGAGTAACAGTAAGAGTTCTCAATGTGTTGATCTAGAACTTCTCCAGAATGATTACTAAATGTAATTTGATAAACATTTATTTGCAGGATATGGATGTCAAGTCCCCAACACAGCAGATCATGCGATGAATAGTGAGCTGCATCAACTGATCCTTGACACAAAAACCACGAATAAAGCCTTTCATTCGAGTCAACTGACATCCGCCATGAATAAAGAAAAAAGAAAAAAGAAAAAAAGAAAAGACCACCATTTTGTTTGGACTGACTGACCCAACTGAGACCATTTATCTTTTCTGATGAATTGTCACATACATTGACTAAAGAGAAAGAAGCCAAGAGTGCTGGTTGTGAAACACTCTGATACGTAGGTTTTGAAAGGCTTCTAAAGTTAATGCTTTTAACATCACCTTCCATTATGATGATTTCCTAATGTAACTTTACAACCAAGACATTTTTTCCTCCTATATAAAGTCCTTTGCATAATGTGTTATGTCATATGACTCGTATATATTCCCACAATCTATTAAGTATCTATACGTAGTAAAAATTGATGACTAAGTTTTCTACTCGTTTTATCTCATGTGTAGTTGTGTACATTATATTGATTCGATGTATGTATGAAATCTATGTACATTACAAATTATGTTTTGGAGTGATACCGTGAGTTCTGGAGTCTTATGAAGTATCAAGTCTCAGGTTCGAATATCTGGATAAATAATTTTTATAGGAGTACTCACACGAGTTAAGTTGTAGTCAGGCTAAACTCTGAACTTGTCTAATCTTGTTCGGTGCACATACTTGTGAGGTGTTGCGTGTGCCATGAGGTGAATTAATATCACCCGTAAGGTGTGGGTATACTTTCTCTTTGAAAAAATAAAAATAAATAAAATTAAGGAACTATAATTATATAAATTATACTATATTGATTAATGCTTTTATGAATGCCCTCTCATGTGAGCTCTCCTTATTTAACTAACGAATCGAAAGATTTATTAAAAGACTCATTTGATTTTCATTAATTTCAAAAGTCTCAATTCAATGATTAAATAAGATGAACTCATACCTCTTATCATTAAATGACTCTCATAATAACATTACTCGTTTAAGTTTCGGGATTGGAAAAACAGTGATGGGAGAAAAGTTCAAGAATCTCTTTCTAATTAGTGTTTGCTTGTTGTGGAAAATCAATGATGGAATGTAAAAGGGTGGATACCTGATCGCAAAATAGTGGTAGTTAGGACAGGTCTTACAAGTGCAAATATAGGTCATGATAAGGTGATCACAACCACTCCAAAACCCCACCCAATTTGGGTCGGTCACACTCTGAACCAGTACATACACAATACTTCCTCGAATGAGCCTTCTCTCGTGTTTACTTTGGCACAAACCTGTTTTGACTTGTAACACATTTATTGAACATTCACCCATTGGAAAAAGGCAAAAACCTAGAAAGGTCTAAGGTCAAACCTAGAATTAAATGTCTTTGTCTTCCCACTGTGTTCTTCAGCAACAGTCAAAGATTTTAATGGCAGGAAAACAGCAAGAACCCATAACATCTCCAATGATGAGTAATGATTTAGGCTAAGAAAATGAAATTAAACAGTTGATATGAACTTCCTTTAAAGATTGAGATCTAATTAAGTGGGTGGTTTAGGACATAACAGATTGGTTAGCATGAATTTGAGTTTTGTTGGAGGAAGCAAAGTGTGGTTGTTAGGTCTGGAATGGAGCATAATGTTCCATCACTTTGTTGCTAACCAAACCTTTCATGTCAATATTAGTGTCGGTCATTGTTTTTGGGTTCATAAAAGAACGCATATATAAACAAGATTTATATTGATTTGCATATAATTTGTAAAATTGCATTGCCCTAATTTAAAATTATGTGTATATATGATGTACAAGCCCATAAACGGGTAAATGGCCCAAAGGCTCTGGTTGAAACCAGTTAACAGAATCAGCTCCAAGAGCAAGGCCCAATACAGTATCAATTGAAATTCTCATCACCACTGTCCCTTTGAGGCACCAAGCACCAATATAAATTCTCGGTGTATTGATTTAGTACTTATTATCAAATGTAACTAGATAAATATTTATTTTCATTACAAGAATCTCAAGCGTAATGAAATAACAATGCAATAATCATGGTACAGATGAAAGCATGGCATACGAGTGATCACATCCAATCCAACCTTAAACATCTCTGAAGCCAACATAGGAAGCAATTGCAACCTGTACATGTAACATCAATAACCCGAGCAAGAGAGAGCATCTCATCAATCATATTCTCATCTTTGAAAATTTCCCTAGCAAAAAGGATGGTAGAGAAGTGTGAAGATGCTTGTAACAGGGTATAAGGCACCGGGCACCAATTTTAGTACTTGTCCAGAACGATTATCAAACGTAACTAGATAATCATTCATTTTCATTACAAAGATGTCACGTCCCCAACACTACATGTCATGTGATAAAAATTGATTAGCATACACAACATGTCATGTGACAAAAATTGATTAGCATAAGTAGGGCCTTGACGCAACATCCATGAATAAAGCTTGATATCTCTTTAAGTACTACACAGAATTATGAAAGATGCCGAACAATAGAATATATACATGTTAGGGAGACTAGGTGTTCATGGAATTCAATCAAATCTTCCCATTCAGTTATGCCATCTCAAGTAAATACAGAAATGTAGCTTTAATAAGACTACATACTTGGAAAAACATGCATAGTTTTACAAAATAATTTCTTTAATTTGGAACATGAAGAGTTTTACAAATAATTTCTTTAATTTCTCCAATGCCGCCACAGAGCATCTACTTTCTGCCACCGGATTCAGTGAATAAATTCCAAGGATTCCTCCAAATCCCTGATGCAACAGAGGAACCAATTGCGACTTCTATTTGTACGTAGTACTAATAGCATCTTCGGGAATTTCCTAAAGAATGCTAGAGAAGTGTGAGGCTGCTTGTAGCTGGCTATAAAGTACCGGACACCAATATGAATTCTCATTGTGTTGATTGGCATCAATGGTGCCTCGACACACCAGCCTTGAATAAAGCATTTCACTTCACACCTACTGCACACAGAATTTTTAAGGATGTCAAACAATAGAATATATAGTGTTAAGGTGACTACGTGACAATTTAAGAAATTCACAGACTTCTTATCGCAGAGAAAGGACCTCCTAACCAATATATATTGTGATGTATATTTAATCCTCTAGAATGACTCCACCAGATTTTATTATGCATAATTGCATTAACATGATTTCCTTATTCAACATATCTCGTCGAATTCAATCAAATCTTCGAATTCAGTTAGGCAATCTCAAGTAAATACAGAAATGTAGCTCAACTAAAAATTCAGAATATTACAACTAAGACTCTGTTCTAGACCTTAACATGCTTGGACAAGAACTAGTTTAGTGCTGTGAAGAAATATTCTCTGAAATAATTTGCCATATTTTATCAATAATTTCTTCTGAAATTATCTAAAGGACTTGTTTAACTGAGCAAAGAATGTGTATAGACTCGTTAATCGAAATGGAAATACAAATTTCTCTTTCAGTATATAAAAGTGAAAGAATAAGAATGCAACAAAAACAAGGTACTAATTCATGGATAATATATGAATGCTATTACACTTGTACTTCCTCTTCCAATTAACTATATATCAACCCTGAACAGCCACTCATAAATGCATATCAACAGAAGATTCTAATAAAATAAAATAAAAAAATCTTAAGATTTTAGATAATCACGACAAACTAAACTCGAGATGACTTGTTTGCAACCAACAAATAATGCAATCTCCATGGTACACAAGCAACTCAACATGAAACTTCTTCAAACGGACCAAACATATCATGATTTACTTGCTGCCCCAACTAGAAAATTCTAAAATTAATTTAAGGCAAAGAAGTATATGATGAATGTGATAAAGTTAGCAAAAAAAAGTTGCACAAACTAATAGCTACGAAAGAAAATACTTGATTTGAAAAAAATAGTAATAATCTGAGTAGTACAATACCCAAATAGAGGAGCTGATCGATCACTTGTGTCTTTGAGTTCCCAAGGGCATACGCTAGGATGGAACCATGCATGTCTCTCTAGATCTTCCATCACTTTCTTCTGTAGGAATGCAACAGAAGATGAAGAAAATACTGTATAATTTAGCATACGGGATCATATAATTTACAAACTATATTAAATGGACCTCCATTTTCAATTAGGATGAATAAATTGAGAATCTAGGATTGGGCAAGTGAATGTGTTTTTGACTAATCAATCCAAATGATAACACAAAATTTTCTTTCAGCATATAAAAGTACAAGTAATATAATAGGAATGCAAAAAGAAGCAAGGCTACTAATACATGGTCAAACTGAATGATGTTAAGCATAGGCCACCTCTTCCAATCAACTAGAAACAGTGCCCTCAAAATACATCTGAGATCATAATAAAATAAATAAATATTCTTACGAAAAAACTTACCAGAATTTTAAATAATCAATCTGTCGGCATTTGGAAGCGACAAATTGGACAGAAGTGACTTGTTTGCAATTTCCATGATACACATGAAGGCATGGCATTCAAGTGACCACTTCTATTCCAACATGAAACTTTTCCAAACAGATCATACATCGATCCAATGAATCAGAACCATCAGCAACCACATTCTCCAATGCCTCCACAGATGATTTACTTGCCGACAATGGACTGAATGAATCGGCTTCTATGGATTCTTCTACAGCCCTGGTTTCCGTAGATGATGATGTCGACAATGATGGCGATGATGGTGGTGATGAGTATGAATGGAAAAAGACGTTGAGAACCATCAATGGTATTGGGC